CAAGACAATAAATTAAAGATGTATTATAGGCAGGCGAGACAAGTACTATCAAGACAAAGATTATGAAGAACACTAATTTGCATCGAATCCTTCGTTTTATTTTTTTCACACAAAACCTTTTACACACAGACACTTTTACACAAAAGCTTTTACACACAGAAGCTTTTACACACAAATTCCTTTATACACAGACGCTTTTACACACAGACGCTTTTACACACAGACACTAAACACTTTTATACACATAGGTTTTTACACAAAGAGGCCTTTACACACAGACGCTTTTACACACAGATTCTTTTACACACAGACGCTTTTACACACAGAAGCTTTTACACACAGAAACTTTTACACACAGACTCCTTTACACACAGACGCTTTTACGCACAGGAACTTTTACACACAGACGCTTTTACACACAGACCCTTTTACACACATACCCTTTTACACAGAGACACTTTTACACACATACGCATTTCTTTTACAGACACACACACTTTCACACACAAAGGCTTTTACACACAAAACCATTTAGGCAGAGACTCCCTTACACACAGACGCTTTTACACACAGACGCTTTTGCACACAGAAGCTTTTACACACAAACGCTTTTACACACGGACGCTTTTACACACGCTTTTGCACACAGAAACTTTTACACGCAGACGCTTACACAGACACTTTTACACACAGACGCTTTTACACAGAATTTTTTACACACATACATTTTTACACACATACGCTTTTACACACAGACCCTTTTACACACAGAAGCTTTTACACACAGACCCTTTTACACACAGACGCTTTTACAGGCAGACGCTTTTACACACACACACACTTTCACACACAGAGGCCTTTACACACAGAAGCTTTTGAAGAGTGTCGCTTACAGCATCATGATACCGATCTTTTTGAATTATTTATGTGGAATTTTCCATTAAAAAAATAAAATAACATGTGTCATACACAACATCATGGTTTCGAATTTTTTTGGGCCATTTATGTAGGATTTTCCATACTAAAATGAAATAACATGTGTCATACACGGCATCATGGTACCGAGCTTTTGTGATATGTGGGCTATTCCCAGAATAAAATGAGATACTGTGTTTTATTTACTGCATTATGGTATTGGACCTTTTTTTTTGCAAAGGCTTGTAGACATTTCACTAGTGAAATATAGTTACATGTGTGATTTATAGCCTCACGGTACCGATCTTTTTTGGGTCATTTATAAAAATAATTTCATTTAAAAAACGACATAACATGTGTCATACACGGCATCATGGTACCGAGCCTTTTTTTTGGGCCATAATGAAATAACATGCGTCATACACAAAGGCTTTTACACACAGACGCTTTTACACGCAAATGCTTTTACACACACACACACTTTCACACACAGAGACTTTTACACACAGACCCTTTTATACACAGAGGCTTTTACACACAGACGCTTTTACACACAGACGCCTTTACACACAATCACTTTTACACACAGATACTTTTACCCACAGAAGCTTTGACACACACACACACGCTTTTCTTTTACACACACACACATACTTTCACGCACAAAGACTTTTATACACAGACGCTTACACAGAAACTTTTACACACACACGCTTTTCTTGTATACACACACATTTTCACACACAGAGGCTTTTACACACAGACACTTGCACAGAGACTTTTACGCACAGACCCTTTTATACACAGACGCTTTTACACACAGACACTTTTACACACATACACTTTTCTTTTACACACACACACACTTTCACACACAGAGACTTTTACACACAGAACCTTTTACGCAGAGACTCCCTTACACACAGACGCTTTTGCACACAGAAGCTTTTACACGCAGACACTTTTACATACGGACGCTTTTACACACAGACGCTTTTACACACAGACGCTTTTACACACAGACTCCTTTACACACAGAGGCTTTTACACACAGAAACTCCTGTATATACAGACGCTTTTATACACAGACGCTTTTACACACAGACGCTTTTACACACAGACGCTTTTGCACACAGAAGCTTTTACACGCAGACGCTTACACAGACGCTTTTACACACAAACGCCTTTACACACACACACACACTGTCACACACAGAGGCTCTTACACACAGAACCTTTTACACAGAGACTCCCTTACACACAAACGCTTTTGCACACAGAAGCTTTTACACACAGACGCTTACACCGAGATTTTTACACACAAACGCTTTTATGCACAGACGCTTTTACACACAGACGCTTTTACACACAGACTCTTTTACACACAGACGCTTTTACACACAGAAGCTTTTACACACAGAAGCTTTTACACACAGACTCCTTTACATACAGACGCTTTTACGCACAGGAGCTTTTACACACAGACCCTTTTACACACAGACACTTTTACACACAGACACTTTTACACACATACCCTTTTACACAGAGACACTTTTACACACATACGCATTTCTTTTACACACACACACACACTTTCACACACAAAGGCTTTTACACACAAAACCATTTAGGCAGAGACTCCCTTACACACAGACGCTTTTACACACAGACGCTTTTGCACACAGAAGCTTTTACACACAAACGCTTTTACACACGGACGCTTTTACACACGCTTTTGCACACAGAAACTTTTACACGCAGACGCTTACACAGACACTTTTACACACAGACGCTTTTACACACAGAATTTTTTACACACATACGTTTTTACACACATACGCTTTTACACACAGACCCTTTTACACACAGAAGCTTTTACACACAGACCCTTTTACACACAGACGCTTTTACACACAGACGCTTTTACACGCAGACGCTTTTACCCACAGAAGCTTTTACACACAAGAGCTTTTATAC